GAAACACAAGTGGAATGGACAATACCTGAATTTCCACAGTTTCGTTCCATTAAAATTAAAACGGAACCTGATCCTCAGTCTAATAAGTCGAGCAGAAAAAATTTGCTCAAACGAAACGTTTCCCGAACAACTGAAACGCATACGTTCGGCGCTGAGAGAAAATGGTTACCCTGAAAGTTTCCTGGAAGCCAACATGGGGCAAAGAAAGAAGGCTCCCGCAACCCTTGCAGTCCAGAGAATACCCATATTTCTCCAACTACCATAAAAGGAGGAAATTGCTGCTGAAATCATAACTCGTCGCCTTTCTCATGCCCTCAGACACACTTTCCCAGCAGCTAAAATGTAAATCCAGTTCGCTGGTAATCCGATGGTTAGAACTAACTCCAAAGACAAGAGGCCCATCCACGCCAAATCAATGCGTATTTATTCTTTCTCCTGTTTCTGTGGTGCAGGGTACATAGGCCGAACGACGAGGCGCTTGTCTGAAAGGGTTAAAGAACACCATCTGGCTTGGCTCATGACCGCTTGTCGAAAACAAACCAACTCATCCATAGCCACGCATTTCGCCGTCACCGGCCACGCCGCCAACGGCTGTCATTCAAAGTGATATATCAGGTACCAGACAATGCATCAAAGTGCGTTCGTAAGCGTTTGCTTGAATCCGCGGAGACCATCGCGATTCGATTGTGCGAGCCGGAGTTGTGTGTTCAGAAACGGCTCGTTCAGACTTTAAAACTGCCTTGGTCCACCCCCACTATGACATCCGGCTCACGAAATGGAGGGTACGCCGCATTTGTGACCTGACGGACAGTGTTTGTGCTTGATCAGTGACTGTGAACTGAATTTGTCTTACCAAACTTTACGTTGTGTCAAACATTTTGTTTTTTTCCACATATAATTGTACAAGCCTGAAGAAGAATTATTGAAAACATATGTTCGCTTGCATCAACTTTTAATCATCTAGTTGTTTAAGTAATACCTCTTGCGTTACGTCCTTTTTGATGAAATCATCCAAATAAGCTGCAGCTCTAGCGACGCATGTCAGCGTCGTATTCACGACTTACATGAAAATTGCCTGTGCGGTTTTGACTCCGAATGGTAAAGTATTGTACTGGTAGAGCCCGGGATGTGTCGATTGTAAGAAGCTCCCTGCATTCAGGATCAACTTCTAACTGCAAATAGATGCTTGCAAGACCCGGACTTCACGATCCCGGTATGGGTGATGAAACCATGAACTTTACTTTTAGCAAGGAAATCCCTAGGCAAGTAGCCGAGGCGCCAATGCGGGGCCAAAGCTTGGCCGGTGAGTCGCCACTCTCCCGCACGGATTGGACGAACATACAGCCGACTAGGTGAACCGGCCAATTAGCACGGGATCGGTATTGCTTGGTTGGTCATAAGTTGACTCTACCAAATGTTTCCACGCGTGGTTTATATACCGTGCATGAATGTTCCATTTGACCTTTATAATGGGCGGTGTGATTAGCCAATGCACCTCGCTTCCTCTGCCCGTCCGAAACTGGTCTTTTCTCTTTCCCTTGGGAGCCAGTGACCCAGAGTCCCGATCGATAGCCAACCATCAAATCAGGGGTGGGACGACCACTTCAGTTACGTTTGACCAATTTTAGCCCTTTGAGTCCTGAATTAATTTACCTAT